GAATTCCACTGGATTCCAGTGGAATTCCTGTGGATTCCTGTGGATTCCTGTGGATTCCTCTGGAATTCCACAGGAATGACTGAATTCCTGCAGGAATAGGTGGGGCACTGTAAAGTACTGATAATATCCAAGAGATACAATTATTGAAAATGGCACTTCAGTCACCCATTTTTGGGTACCTATGAGGTACATCAATTCCTTGATTTAGGGTACCTTGGGGGTACCCATTCCGGGGTGGTATATGAGCTCCATACCAATACCATGGTACCATGGAATGGAAAACCCATACCATACCCCACTCATACCAATACCATGTTACCATACCATACCAATACCATGTCACCATACCATACCATGTCCTGTTATACCATACCAGATGGTATGATGTCACTTCATACCATCATACCAAAGCTGTCATAGGGTGTCTGGGGTCCGTTTCCAAAATATATAAATTATTTCTGCAGGCTGCAATACTGGTCCATTGGGTGCCATTTTTTGTGGGGTAAACTGACTGCAGCCAAACAGCTGGAGGCTTGTAGTCTGCTTTTCTGATATTCTCCTTGTATCTATCTAGGTAGATGGGGATATAGCTCAATGTTTCAGAGCAACTGAATTTAACCAAATAGCCATCATTCAGCCTTTGTCCCCTCCAGGGAATTATATGATGATGAAATACAAAGTGAGAAGAGGTTACACTGAGATGTCAGAATTCATGCCCAGGTTGTGTTTTAACTGAGCACAAAGTGCTCTGACTTTCCCTTTGACCAGCTTCAGTCATGTTCTCATCATAATGATATTCAACATTCTTTCCATATATCTGGGGACTCAACTATGTCTGACCATAGCCAACCTTAACATGTCCTCTCTTAAGACAATCTCAGTTTGCCTGAAACATCAGGTCTACCCCCATATACCTACATAGATAATAGGAGACTACAACATATCAGAAAAGCAGACCACAAACTTTTATAATGAAAAAAGCGGACACTACAAACCTTTGTAATGAAAAAAGCGCACACTACAAACCTTTGTAGTCCAAAAAATGCAAGACTACAAACTTTGTCATTAACACAACCAGAAGACTACAAACCTTTGTAATGAAAAAAGCGCACACTACAAACTTTTGTAGTCTAAAAAAGCGCACACTAGTAATTTTGTAGTGAACACAAGCAGAACACTACAAACATTTGTAATGAAAAAAGCGCACACTAGTAATTTTGTAGTGAACACAAGCAGAACACTACAAACATTTGTAATGAAAAAAGCGCACACTACAAACTTTTGTAGTCTAAAAAAGCGCACACTAGTAATTTTGTAGTGAACATAAGCAGAACACTACAAACATTTGTAATGAAAAAAGCGCACACTACAAACTTTTGTAGTCTAAAAAAGCGGAGACTACAAACTGAAGTG